CGATGTGATGTAGTGACATGTTTGTTTTTTCTTTCGATTGTTCTAGCCTCTATTCTGAGGTTTAAATCGGGTATCTCCTATATCATCCATCATAAGCACAACATCGGCTCTACCACATGTAAGCACTTAAATGCGATCCACCATCGCTTCTTCACTTCAACTATATGGTTGTATAGTGTTGTACTTATTTCCCAAGACTTCTCGTAGAAAGGAACCCACGCATTTCATCACAAGGCTGGCCCTTCCCAAGCGTCCCTATTCAACTTCATCAGATAGGACTGCTTGTGAGAGAACGCAACCTCGCGTTCTTTAGCAAAGCCCGCGTATTGAAGATGCTGCAGGAATCTGTGACCCCAGAGTTAGCCCGCTATGTTCGTCCTCGATATTGTTGAAGTATCTTACCTCGCGTTGTCTATCCGTGGCTCCAAACAAACATGCATCGTACGATAGTCGTCAGTCAGGCACCAGTGCACCAAACTGGTCAGCCACGCCGGCACCCGTCCCCGCGCCCACTCCTCGCCGACAAAGACGTGGATGCCACGGTCATAGTCCCCAGCATCGTTCCCCAGCTTCTGGCCCAGGATATCTTCCTTGACCCAGTAAATCTCGAAATATCCAAAGGGCACTCCGTCCCACATGCCAATCACCGGGAACGAGTGCTTGGAGCTCAGCGCATTGCTCAAAAAGTCTGGCGAGTAATTTCCCCAGAACTTCTGTACTCGCGGGTTCGACAGCCATGACTGCAGCAGCTCTGTGTCGGAGAGGTGGGCGAGGTGGCCATTATCAACAGGCTTGGGGCCCAGGGGTCCAAGGTATGGGACAGGCTCTGGTGTAAGTGACGCCACCCTAAATGACAGATATTGCCCAACGCTCGGCACATAGCGCGAGTAAAAGACTTCGCCCATCCGGCCTGGTTTCCTGCGGATGGGGTGGCGCACGCCGTTGGTGACCGTATACATCAAAGGCGCTGGCGGGTAGTACGTTGGGAGATGTGAACTGGAATAGAACGGTCCGATGGGGAAGTTCAATGTCGTGACCATGGTCATCGGCGGTGGTCCTCCGGGGAGGTCGACATCGAAACGGCCCCCCGTGGATTGGTGCGGAGAGTGTATGGGCGTATGATGCCTTGAGTGAATCGACTCGGTTCGAGCAGGTGAAGTCGGCCTGCTCCCGTTTGGCGATTCGGGGTTCGTTGTCGATGCGGCACTAGTACGCTGCAGGGTGAACAAGAAGAGCCGGCCCGGGATCTGCCAAAACATGCGCCGCGAGACAAACATCTGCGACCATTCCTCGCCGTTATCCTTGAGGTTGTTCCCAACCGCAGAGTCCAGCGATGCAATAAGTCCCATGCGCTCAAGCTTTGGTATGAGGTTCCTGCCCCGCAATACCCCGTCTCGCTTGATATTGATGCGCCACTCACCCTTCGGCCGCGCTTCTTCCGGCGTTAGCCTCGATGCATCGGTCGTGAGGTAAGGTGACGGTTGTGGTTGATGGAAGTACCAGTAGAGCGTCACCCAGAGCATCATGGCGATCTGGCGTGTTGGGCTCGCGGCGGGCTTGAATTCGGTGCTGGAAGGCTGTGATATCGACGAGATGAAGAGATTATCGCCCTGTAGTGTAGGTTGTTTGAAGCTGTGTATGTGCCGCCGGCGGGCGCGGTCTTCCTCGCCCTGCTCACCGTCGACACCATCCACCTCGAGTTGTGCATCCTCGGTATTGAGCACGATCGTCCAGCCGATGGGGAAAGGGTTGTTGTGAGTGTTGAGCTCGTGGGACTTGAAAAAGAGGCCTGCAAAGACTGGCGTGACTGTAAACTTCTGTCCGTCTGGGAGGTGGATGATTTGGGGGGCCATGGCGGCGGGGTGGAGCTGCACCGCTTCTATCCGTACGGATACACCTTGGTAGCCCGAGCTCTAGCTTCTGGTGGAGGGGGACGAGACGGAGGGCGAGCACGCAAGGCAAGGTAGGGTACCTAGGCACCCGGCGAGGTAGGATCGACTGACAAGAGAGGAAGGCGTCTTTCTTGTCCAATCGGGGGTTGGGTCGTGGCCGTTTGGGATACGCCTGGAAGAGGAGAATGGCGGGGCCGATCAGCTTCTCAGAGTGATATCGAGCGGTCGTTCTTTTGTACTCGATCGTCGGACGAGGCCTTGATGTCCCCCGGTTGATGGAGAGGTATCGTCAGATCTGGGGATGGATTCTAGTGTCCCTTCTCGAAGGTCAACGCAGCCATTCAGTGAAGGGCCATATGGAAGGTTGCGAGATTCTGACAAACAGAGACCTGTTGGTTGGGTGGTGGTGTGATGATGCGTTAACCAAGTGGGGTGAAGCTCTCCCGTTGGCGTCGGCGGCGGGGATGGTGGTGTTGGGCAGTTTGGTGTCTGGGCGCCTAGGGGTCAGAGCTCCCCTCCCTTTCAAGGCCTTCCTCGCTCCCTTGGCCTTGCACGCCTTGTGGAATTGGCATGTGGTGGGCTGTAGCGGTTGAAAGCGGAGCATCTCGGTGAAGCCGATCCGTCCCGTCTCGGCAGGTCTTACCGGAACACACCGAGTCTGGTGGTCGGTCACCCGATGGAGCTCGATAGCATGAGAAAATCTTTCCCCCAACAACTGGTGATCGGTGCCCGCGATTTGACTCTGGAGAAATACCACCTCGCCACATGACAAGTCTCCCGACAACAGACAGATCTTTGCGGACGGCATGCCATCTCCAGCGTTCTGTGTCTTTGATAGAATAGTCAGCCATCATCAGAACATCCACAGTGTTAGAGCGAAACGAGGACAGGGCTACCCGAGGGTCCTCCGAAACGTGTTTGTTTTAATCATGCTAGAATGTGGCTATTATATTCATACAGGGGTATCGCACCTGAAAAAGGTTTCTAGGAACTTGCTATGACGCTGACTTATTTTCGCTCCCATCGTCAGACTTTTCCTTCTTCTTGTCTTCTTTGCGTTTGTGCTCTGCTCGCTCTTCTTCGGCGTCGTCTTCGTCTTCGTCGCTCCGACGTCTACCCTTCTTCTCTTTGTCTAGAACTTCCATGACTTCCTCGCCGCCAAGATCCTTTGTTTCGTCCCAGTCAACATCGTACTCGGTCGCCACGAACCGAACCTCGCGACGCAACGAGTTGGCCTCGTGAACGAGCGCCTCCCAGGCCGAGGGATCGAAGCCCCGCTCCTGATACAGTGCCTGCTGTCGCTTTGAGACGGTAATGTTCAAGGCCGCTTTATAGCTGAGGTCTTTGCTGATATACAGGAACCACAGGTAACCGCCCATGATGGTTGTTAAGCCAGCCAGGTAGGTTACTGGCTCGACGAGATCCCAGCCGGCATCGGTGTGGAAGGTAACATAATATACGACTCCCCACCAACCGGCGAGGAGGCCGAACCCTCCCTGTGCCATGCGATGTGCTCCACGGTGCGCAAGGGTGTCGCATTCTTGCTTGAGTTTCGCCAACTCCTCGACGCGGCGAGACATTCTTCGCAATCGAACGCGCATGTAGTATGTGCGGTCATTGAAGCTCGGCACAGCTACCCGCAACTCTTCTTTGTAACCCTCGATACCAATTGCAAACTCTCGGCCGCGCGCAGCGTCTCGGATGAAGTCGCCAACCTCGGTACTGCTACTCCATCTGACCCAATTCGTCTCATCGCGGTCCTTCTTTGGGCCCTTGTGGCCTAGACCCGAGTAAGAGGCGACGTTGCCCTCCTTCTTCTGCGATGCGCTCTTGTCCTGGTTCTCATCTTTGTGGTCTCCCTCTGCTCGGAAGTATATCTTTGGGATTCGCTCTCGGCGACCATCGTCGATTGGCGGGATTTCAGCCTGGAGTAGTCTTTCGAGGTAGGACAACGGCTGCTGAGGGTGGACAAGCAGGGCAAGCGGGGCGATTGAATCCCTGTCATCGTCCTTGTTATCTTTGGAAGACTGTATGTTCCGCGCTTGTTCGGCGTGGAAGGGCAGCGGTAGGATGAGCTTCAAGAGCCTCGTTGGTGTCGTGAGTAGTCGTCCTGGCTCACAGTAAGTAATCATGCACTGCACGTGTGCTCGGGCGCAGGTGACATTAGAGCTGGCATACCTCGAGTCTTATCGCCGTTTGTGGGATCTTTGCACAACTCTCGCTGCTCAGTCTCATCTCCGGCGCGGTGCCATGGCCTTTCCTCTTGCTTTCTCAACGCAATCTGCTCGTCACGCTCCAGCTTCTCCCTTTCTTCCTCCTTGGTCATGTCATCTTGGCTGATCTTCTTGGCCTTGGCGTCGTCGAGGTCACTTTGCCGTCTCGTGGAGAGCCCAAACGCGCGTCTGTTCACCGGGATCTGTCTTGTGACAATGCCGGGCCCGGCTGGGCGGAAAGCTTGACGCAACGGACCATGCTTAGGTCCGAAGCTGGTAGGGAGTTGCAGGCATACGCGAAGGAACGCGTAGCTCATTTTCGACGTCTGTTTCTGGTTTGTGGTGTTTAATGTGCGCTCAACTATGGGAAAGGAAGCATTTCTATTAAGGAATCTAGGGAATAAGAACAATAAACAGCACTGACAACAGAAGAAAGAGCTCTCTGCCGGGCCAAGTATCGCACCTTCCGCCATTTCTTAGCTGCAACCCGACAATGCTGCCATGACGTCAATGGGTGATGACAGTCACGTGTAGCGTGTGGCTGAGCTTCCGGAGCTACAGCTCCAGCTCTCCAGCTCCAAATTTCTTGGCAGATTGCTCCAGCTAAGCTCCATGACAGCTCCACCCTGGTCTCGCCCTCGAATCTCGCAGTAGCATCATCATCGTACCCCAATTTCCGTGGGAACTAGCTTATTCACTCCAATCACTACGATCTTGTGCCACGCCGACAATACCTAAACCTGGTTCCCGGACATGAGGTCTTGGCGATCAACTGAAGGTCCTACAGGCCTTACATCATCAAGGAATGACACTTCACGGGATCATGCGCTTAACGGCTTGGGGGAGATTTCAATCCATTCACGTTGACTGTATCCAGACATCTACTCGAACCGTTTCAGCTAATGTACCGCCATTTCACGCCCTCCCATCCCTCTCTCCTCCGAACTCGGACTCCATAACCCTCGCCATCATCGACGGGTTTAACGGCGGCTCCAGTCATCGAACATCCCGCTGCTTTGGGCACCTTGGCCGTCGATTCCATGTTCCCGTCCAGAGGCACAACATCGAATCCAAGCAACAGAGACGCCACGAAGCCGAGATTCTCTGCAAACGCAAAGTTGCGTCCAGGGCACAGGTGTCTCCCACCGCCAAAGGGTATGAAGGCCGCCCGCTTCAGCTTCTCCGTCTCGGCATGTTCCTTCCCAGTCTTGACGATGAATCTATCTGGATCAAACGACTCCTGATCCTTTCCCCAAGCTTTCTCTAAGCTGTGGCTGACTTGAGATGACATCTGCACGTTGCACCCCTTCTTGAGGAGATATGATTTCCCACTACCATCCGATATCGTCGTATCCTCCAGCACGCGTCGGTTGCCCATTCCCTTACTTGATACGCGAATCGCCTCGCGATAGCAGCGCACAAGCAAGGGACAACGGTCGTCAAGGGTGCCAATGTCAAGCGTGACCTCCCCGTTACCACCATGTTGCGCCACCGGCAAGAGTTCGTCTCTCAGACGTGCCACCAGCTCGGGACGGCTAAAGACGTGTACCATGAACCAGAACAACGTCGGAATGGTGTTGGAGGTGGCCACGTGCAGCAGCGCAACCTCGAATATTCCCACCTCCCTGCCCGGGATGCCGTGTTTTCGCAAAACATTGGCGCGGTTCCTGACGATCTGCGATGCATCCTTGTGCGAATCCCCATCGCTTCCGTAGTACTCGCCCAACGCCGCTTGAAGCCGTGCTCTCGCCTTAAAGCATCTGCGTGCCGTGATGGACGGCGCGATGCCCAGCATCAGCACCGGTAGGTCCGATTCGAAGATCCTGTACTTGTATGAGACCTCTTGATCGTTGCACAAAGTGTACGAGATACAACTCACCAGGTATCCTTCATCAGGCTTGCATCCTTTTTTAGCGGATTTCCGGGCCCGTACAGGGCCTCGGTAGTCGCCATAGTCATCAAGTCCCGCACCCATATCCAGAAATTACTCGCTTCATAAGCTTCGTTCCCTCTGCAGAGATCATCCAACGCATCAGATACGTATGCGAGAGCGGAGGCATTCATGCGATGCAGGTTATCTGCCGCCATGCCAACGTGGATACCCTCAAAGAACTCAGGCAACAAGGTACCGTTTTCAATGATCTTAAGCGTCTCGTTGTTGAAGCCCAATTCCCTCTGCGCAAACTCAACTGCGAATGGCTCGAATGAAAGATTACGATTTCGGTACACGGCCTGGATTAAAATCGGGTCCCAAATGCCGTACATCTTGCCATTTAGGATAGGTAGCGTCGCGATGCCCATGTTCCGGCGTCTGTGTCAGTGTCAGCATACATCGCCTGTCTACGTCTTTTTCCGGGTGTGTTGGACCTACTCCAAGACCTTGAAGTACCGGCTCTGGTGCTGGATCATGCCAATCAAGTGCCCAATGACTGGAATCCGAGACTTCATCGCTGGCGGCTCGCGACTGTCCAGCTCGGGCGACGAGAACTTGTGGACAAAGATCGCAAAGACGAGGAGTATCACTACCGTAGCGTACGAGGAAGTCGACTTTTGCACATCTTCTACTAAGAAGGCGAGGAAGCTTCCTGCTGTGGCTGTACCGTTGCCCGCCATGTTCCCGAGCCCTTGGCCGACTTGACTTGCCATCTTTCTTGGCCGTGGTTGTTGAGTGATGCAACTTGGCGAACACCAGCTTGATTGTGATTTGGTCGTCTACCAGAACTACAGACCAGCCAGGGTGACTAGGAGGAGAAAAGTCTCAACGGTCATCTACTAGAGGGATGTCGTCTTTACATATCATCCCAGACAAGCCCGCCCTCAACGTGGCGCACTACGCAGACCTGGGAAAAGATCCAGAAACTAATACCAATTTGGATCCAAGGAACGACAAGTTCATCCACCATCCTCTGCGGGCGCGCCTGTCAGAATTTAGCGTGAATCCTCCTCTAGGGCTATCTTTTTGCGCCCAAAAAGATGTGGACGAGGGGCTTCGTTTGGAGACCGGTTCATCTAGGCCAACTGATGTTCCTTGTTGGCTTGTATCATTCGCTCTCCAATCAGGTCGTTGATGATACGTTTGACCGTAAGGGGGGCTTTTTCCAGCTGTTGCCTGATATGCCGCTAGGGTCTGATATCTGGAATGCCGCAACGGGGCGCCGGCTCTTCGGGTGGATACTTGCTGATGCACCCTCCGGGACTACTACCTTCAGGGTCCGTAGCTTGATTGAATGTGCTCTACTTGTCTTCTGGTTGTTGCGCGAAATTTCATCAAATTGATGATGCTCATTGGCAATCAAATGCGCTCTGGCGCTGTTTCGCATGCAAATACTGCAGCAATTTCTTTTCTACAAGTACAAACACGTCAAGACGGTTAACAGGACACTAATAGACTTGATTCCATTTCCCACATCCCGCTGCGACGGTCATATGAACTTCGGCCTGATCCCATTTCCAATCAAGTCGAGACGAGTGTCATACGTTGCTCCCCGCCAGAGAGAAGATGAGAAGACGTTGGGCTTCGCAGGCTTGGCAACCGCCTTGAGGGGTTTCGAGTGGGATTTCCGATATGGCCAATCGCTGCGCTTTGGAGATGGGAAAGGATTCCTATGATATGGGTGAGGTTGGGGGACAACTGGGCAAGCCATGCATGTAAGATGCAAGGCACAGCGCTGATGTCAGCAGCCCATCCCGATAAAGAGGCTTAACCATTGGTACGTCTGAGGTCAGCCAAAGTAGAGAGCCAAAATATCGAGGGTTCAGAGTTCTTTTTCTTTGTCTTGTCCAAGGTCGAAGATTCAAGTTTCTGGACAGAGAATTGAAGTCCAAAAATAGACAGCAAAGACGGCTTTCTAGCAGAGAAAGTATTTGAAGAACAAGCACCGGGGTTTTGATACTCAGGATAAATGAAAATTTGAGATGCCCTCTAGGATTACTTAGTTAAACAGTGGAAGATGATGATACAGGAAGACTGAACCTAGTGCATCGTTGGCTGCTGCAGTCACTCAAGAAGACCAAATGAGGACCTGATGAAGTCTTTCCGAGTTTCAAACCCACAAGAGCCACAATTGAGCCTTGGACTTCACAAATTTAATTACTTTGGAGGAATATTTAAAGATAAATCATGTAATGTATGCCTACTTTTGCCCCAATTCTTTGATCTGCCGGTCCTCGTCAACTATCGCCGTGCTGGGGGATTGTCAAATGCTAAATTCGTGAGCGGGCACCGACCACAATGAGGCCGCCATCCTTCTATACCTGTAATCCATCTAAGATCATTGGGACACGTGGGAATCTCGGCACCAGAGATCTCATCAATGTACCAATATCGCTCTGCGCAGGGGAATCGTCGCTCGTAGTAGTTTATCGGGCGTCTGCACCGGATGCATCTTTCTGTGCAGCAGTAAATGATGCACATCTTTGCTACCTTGAAAAATTATCTCTCTAAAGAAGCGGTTATACACTCTTGTTCTTGTTTGAAATGTTGTGTTGAAGTTGCTCGCGTTTGGTGATTTCTAAAGTGAGCTGGAAGACGATAGTAAGAGAGCCTTCAGATATACGTAGACTGACTTGAGGCTGTTGTATTATATGGGTGTAATGTTCGTGAATACTAGACCTGTGGTTGAGTCTCGAGTGTCCTGGTACAAAGAGTCACAATGGAGTCAAAGAAAATTGTTTTGTAGAACAAGTCTATGGCCCACGATTTATTTGGGCAGGATCGGCTACGTTCACACAAACTCACTCCAGCCCGTTGTACCCGTGATTCACGTATCTTGGATCTCTCTTAACAAGTGGATCGCCACAAAGAGAAGGCAGAACAAACTAAATTAACACAAAGCTACGCATTTTGAGCGATGTTATGATCTATGCTTACCATCAAATTTGTTCAACTATGTTATTCAAATGCATCCCCATATCTAATCTTGATTCATGGACACTGGACCAATCTCCAAGACTTGCTAAGTCTAAACCACTATTTGGCTGAAGACAACTTGAGTGGGACCTTGTCCGCAGCTCATTTCTCAAGCATAAGGCTGCCTTCAAAGTGGTTGCTGCTACGTGATTGGGCTGTAGTCGAAGTTACGAAGTCGCAGTGCGACAGATTCGGCAATTTCAGCTACATGTGCAGCTTCTCACCAGGTAGCCCTTTGCTAGTTCGGCGTCCCATTCGCGATCACTTGATCAATTTGACCCTTTACGTCGTCAAAATACGCGTATACACAGGAACAACGGCAAAGGAGATCGGCTAGTGCATGGCCAATCGCGCTTTTCTGTAGCTGCTCAAGCTCAATTCCGTGCAGTAGTGTTGCAGTGACATTTGACTTCTTGCGGGGAACCATGTCACCCTGCTCTGCCCGTCTACCTAAGTACAGCGGGAGCAAAGACAATTACGGAAATACAGCGATTTGTGGGAATACAGCTGAAAGTGACTGTCTGGAGGATATGTTCACCCGTGAGCCTGCCATTGATACTGCCCATTGTCTCCAAGATGAGCTAGGTTCCCGTTCGAAAGTTGGCAGAATCTTGACATGACGTATCATCGTTCGGCTGGGTGTTTCGGCAAACACCTTCACCGAAGTGTATTTAAGTCACTGACGATGTTCTCTCAAAGTTCTGATTTCTAGGTTTTTTACATAGACCGGCAGTTTGTTGCTCTATTTTTCATCTTTTCCTCCAAGTGCAGTCGCTGCATCGTGCAAAATGTCTATACCATTAGTTCTCCTCGTCCTTTTGGGCAAAGCATTCGGCGACGGTCTTGAGTATAACCTCAATCTGCATTTGCCAAGCCACCGACCAGAATGGGCCGAAAAGCTCTCTCCTCACCTCGCAGCTTTCAGCATAGAGATGGACCGCTGGCCAGACTGGGCCGGGCAAGAAGTCGGCAAACCAAACGAATACTTCAACCGGCTTCTCTCAAACCTAGGCGAGAGGACCGGGCATATGCCATTCCTTCGTGTAGGAGCCAACTCGCAAGACAGAGCCACTCTAGACCTAAGCCTCGAGGTCATGAACAAAACCTTTCCGGAACCGACTGAGACTGTCCCCAACCCAGAGGCAGACCACATCTATATCGGCCGAGACTTTTATGCCTTATCGGGGAATCTACCGGCTGGAACGCCCTTCATGTGGGGTCTCAACCTCAAGTCCTTGAACCAGACTGAGACTGTTGCCCAGGCCCGGTTGCTTGCGCAGACCTTTCAAGGGGACCGGGCAAACTTAACCAAGAATGTGCGACTTGTCAACGTCGAGTTGGGAAATGAGCCTGACTTTTATGGCTTGACGCGGACGGTGTACAATGGTCCCTACGGCGTTGAGTGGGATACTGCCAACTATACAGATACCTGGGCACAGTATGCCGAGGCAGTAAGCAGAGAGATCGAGTTCGATCACACCGGTTCAGATCGGCCCACACTGTCGCCTGGAGCCTTTACTGGAGCTAACGCCCCAGAATGGACGCCAGCAGGACCCTTACAGCTGGGTATACTGAACGACCCGACCATTCGAAATGCGACGACTCAGTTCACAGAGCATGCCTACTCTGGCGGCTTCGACCCACGCCGTGTCGTCAACCCCGGAGATCTCATGAACAAGATATACGTGCGCGGCAACATGACTACTAAGATGGCCGGTATACAAGCAGTGAGATCCGTGGGTTTAGATTATTTATTGGTATGAGTGTCTTTTACACACCATCTCATTTTACCTACTGACATCTGGATAGGGCGAGACAAACTCTTATGCAAAGTGAGTCTCACTCGTCTTAATTAGACGATGTTCTAACTTTGGGACTTATTTATAGCCATGGCCAACCTGGGCTGAGTAATACTGTTGAGAGTGCACTCTGGGCAACCGATTGGCTCTTACTCGGCGCCTCTTTCGGGATACAAAGGCTTCATTTCCACCACGGGGTAGGTTTCAGATACAACCTGATACAGCCAACAAGCGACTCCGATGACGGTCTAAACATTACTCGTCCCCACATTCTTCCATCCTATCACGCCTTTCTGATTGTCAACGAAGCCATCGGGAAGTCTAGCGAAGCGTATGTTGCCGAAATACCGACCAGTAATATTACTATTACCGCGTATGGCATATGGGAGCAAGAGCGACTTGCCAGAATTGTTGTCTTGAACACGCAGGTTCATCTCGGGGGACAAGAGAAGCCGAGCATCAGCGTCAATCTAAGGGGCCTTGGATCAGGTCTATCAACTACGGTGAAGATGCTGCTCTCGGAAAATACGACTGCTAATGCTGGATTGTAAGTGGACTTCTCATCTTGTAATTGTTTTACAAGCTTACTGAACGTCGTGAGCAGGACGTGGGCGGGTCAGAGTTTTGAGACTGTGTCTGGGGAGCCCCAGGGCGATGTAAGGGCAGACGAAGTCCTGAACGACAGTTTCAGCTTGCCGGCGTCTTCAATTGCTCTCTTAACGATCCGATGAGTCGACATTTCTTTTTTGAATCATACTTACCTCTGCATACTTTGAGAGGTGGATTATGGTCATAATTTTACGTATTCGACTTTCTGTCTGAGAGATACCACAACGGTTGTTTAGAGAAGAGCCCCTGGTCACTTCATCTGCCTTCGCCACGCACTGTTGGAACTTTAAAGCACCCTCAAGCCAACTTCCAGGACTTCTATTACCTACCTAGTCTGCCTCAATCTATCGTCTTGATGAGCCAATCCATGACTGTGCAATATCATAACTGTGCAATATCGAGATCCAAGCACGCACTCATGATTGCAAATTGAAACCAACAAAATTCCTCCCAATACGCTTGGATCTCATCACCTACTTATAGAGTAGTATCGTCATCAAAAAAAGAGTCAGTGTCGTCAAGGCGTCTAACACGAAATGAAGGGACATCAAGCCACTGGTTAAACTGCCGAAAAACTCGATGTGTCTCCAATCGAGCCACCGAGACGCCCAATACTATGTCAAAATCATGAGAGGGCTTGGCGGGATCGAGTTGATGGCCAATGTACTTCGTCTGGGGCTGCTTGACAGCTTCTGGCAGTGCCTCGGGCCAAGCTTCGAAATGCTCCAAACAACAAAGACTATCACAGGTCTCATTCTGACACTGGGGCTCTTGGGTTACTACCTTCCCACGTCGGATGCCTAGGTCGCTGAGGCGCTCTACACGCTGGGGGCCAGAGGGCGGTGGTTGTCTGGCTGGTTGAGAAGTCCAACGCGACAACGCAGCGGTATGTGAAGCGTCGTTACATGGATGGCGAGTTGGAAAGTATGTCTCATGGATACTTCTTGTGATTTTGCCTTTGCACCAGTGAGCCAGAATCCCATTCTTGGATCTGACTTGGAGGTGGTTCTCACAAGGCTTCATATCCGTGACATGGCGAACTACTTCACTGCAGCGGATACAGCTCTCGCGGATTTGCTTGACCTCACACATTGTATGCTCGGTGTTGTGTTGTGTTTGGGTATGGCAGACGGACTGACCTACGTGATTGTTGAGATTGCTCAGTGGATGGATCTTTAACAATGGTGACCCTTGTGTTTGGTTGTTGTTTCGGTTGCGAAGAGATTGGAGGACTATGTCTCATTTACTTGACGGATGATGCAGGCGAATTTATGTATTATACCACTTGGTTATGGGGGGAGGGTTCTATTCACGACTCAACGCCTGTTTCGAACCTACTCCTCTGTATTCACTATCAGACTGAAAGACATATTTGCACAAAGAAAACAGGATGAACTTTAGTCAGATAAAAGAATGCACAAAGAGGGGGTTTCTAAGGTCTATGATCATAACGACTTGATTAAAGCCATTGTCACAACTCAGCCACGGATGGAAGACTCGGTTGAATTGACCTTAACTTCCTACGGCGCCCATCTCGACTTTGGTCGGGCAGCCCAGGAAGGTCAGTCTGAGAAAGCCACAAGTTCTTTATCACCATTGGAAAGATTTTCAAAATCGCGCAGTCGGCTACTCGTAAGTGGTCAGTTGACTCTTCTTCAAGTTGGAAACTGCCTCGTGCACTGGCCCCTGTGCACGCCCGTGGTTGCGTAGGCGACAGCTCAGGTCTGAGAAGGGGAGTCAGTGAACACATAGGAACACAAATCCTGCCTCATTCCTTCGCTCGGTATCGTACACAAACACGTCCATGCTCTCAAAGCCGAATCAGAGCTCACATTGGATCACACCAACTCCCAAAATATAATGCTGATTAGGGTTTTCGGATGGCAGACGAAGTTTGTCTAATTTCGTAGTCAATGCGTCTTGCTGCCCCTTGAGGAGGGTCTTACTCCCAACATCCGATCATCGGATCGCGGGGGAGGCTAAAAACCTCGGACGGTATTGCGTGAACAGGCTATGAAAGTCAGGAACACTTGTGCAAGCCGAACAGCAACTCATTAAGTACGGCAAGGTTTGTTACCCAGGCAATTCAGCGATCCCACACATCATGCAGCACACAATGGATGGCTTGTGTGCCTATCCGTATCCGAGGACGAGGTTTGAGGCTCAGAAAAATGCGATCCTGTTTGACGGTGATCGCGGTCTAGACCGTCTTACTCAAGGATAATATGCCGGAGTGCCTTTGAGGTCAATTATCATATATAGGACGGCGGCGATCCCATTCTGAGCAATGTCATCTGCATCTACACTTACACAATTCGCAACCAGCCTCATCTCAGGCAATCACTCGCTCAGCTGTCACCACCATTCGTTTTTCTCTTCAGCTGCTCACATAAAGATCTCGGACTCCAATCGATTCAGGAACAGTCATGATTCTCAAGTGGAACTCGTCCCTCGCCTTGTGTGCCGCGTTGCTCGCTGGTGCAGTCGATGCCCAAGGGGCTAACTGGGGAGGTTTCAACACAATCCGCAACATTTGGACAGCTGGTGCATCTTACGACTACATCGGAAGTGGTCCTTTGTACGTGTCTCACTTATCCTTTTGGGATTTTCTCGAATAAGCTGACTGAGGGTGATGGTAGGAGCTACAGCACGACTTCAAACGGGCCGAACCATGTAAACTACATCGCCAATGCACGCGGTGCAAACAATGTCGTCCTCAACAAGTTTGCATACCCCGGGGCGGTAACGGACTCTCGCTATGCGGTGCCCACGCAAGTTCTTCCCGGGTTCAGTCCTATCATCAACTGGAATGATCAAATCAATGAGATCGTTACCGCTTTCACAGCGGCTCGTACGGCAGGTACTGCTTCGGCTAGGGATTCTCTCTTTATCTTCCTGGCGTCGAACACCGGCAATGATATTCTTGGTACCTACAACACCACCACTAATCAAGCCCAAACTATCAACAATTTGATCGGAGTCATCCGCACCAAGTTTGCCCAGGTAAAGAGCTACATTTGTCCACCCCTTCGACGCACCCACTTTTCGTCATGACTTGAGAGCGCGAGAACAATTGAGCTAGAGGCTGACTTTGGCCCCTCGCCCTAGATCTATGGCGCCGGAGCTCGCAACTTTGTCTTCCTCTCTGTCCTGCCGGCGGAGCTCATTCCCAGAATTCAGATTTTGCCCCAGGCAGACAGAGACAAGGTCGCCGACTTCGCGAACAACTACCGTGTAGCAGTGAACAATCTCATCACAGAACTTAGAAATAACAACACGTATCGCGGGCAGATCACCATCTTTGCACCAGATTTCACCCAGAGCTTGAGGTCCATTAAGGCTGGCACGCTGACAACCGGTCCCACCGCGGGCTACCTTGATCGAAACGGCTATTGCGCAGACGCTCTGCCCATTGGCATTGTCGTGTAAGTAGTGAAGAACTCCAACACCACGCCCGAAATATTGTTCAACATCGTTGTTTTCCGAATAAAGACGCTGACTGCCTTGTCATCTTGCAGGCCTCCGAATCCTGACTACAAATCGACCAACTGTGCCTACACTGCTCGCAAGTACCTTTTCCACGACACGATTCACATTACCTCGCCGGCTCATTGCGAGTACGCTATCAACACTCTGGCTACGCTTGGCGTCACAGCAACACCGCAGCAGTTGGGTTGCCAATTCGCCTAGGGGATAGCAACGCGGCGGACAAGGTATGTCTGCTCGAGGTAAGCTCAGATACTCTGGCTACCATGAGATAATGGAGCTTTTTGTAGTGCGAATGATGCGCAGGTCATGATGCGTTCAATGTACATATTCCAAATTGCTACGTCATCACACATAGCGTCAATTAGGTGCCAACCTAACAAGCCTATCGCTATTCATTGTCATTGGCACTCGACAATGTTCGAACAGTGAGGGTGCCTTCATGTAAGGTATGCAGTCAAATGCTCCATCATGGAGACTGAGCCTGGATCTCTTTGAAATGCAGCGAGATGAAGTTACGCACACAAAACCATACACCCCAGCTCGACGCGATGCAGCTTTTTGAGTGACGAAGGGCGCGAATGATTCCGGCCATCAACTTCAATGTCAGACCATCCGACAAATTGGCTGCCCGACAACGGATGAACCGTCTCCATCCTGCCCCTTACACGATTCAAGATCGGCGGAGTTCCCAAAGCTTCGGGAATGAAGCAAACTCTAATTGCGTCTCAGACAAATTGGAAACTCATCCCACCGGCAACCACCGAGTCGCAACTTAGCATGCTGAGGCTCTTCTTCCACCTTATTCTCCGCCAGTTCCGTAACGACTAATGGCGGAAACTTCGTACAACAGCGAAACCGAGCCGGATAAAGCATCCTTCCCCTAATCACTCCACAACCCCCGTCAACAACTCTCTTTAACCCATACCAGCATGGCCATGGCCTTGTTGTACTGACCAATTGACGAAGAGAGGAGGTCTCTACCCAATATCGTAGGCCGGTGGGATACTAAACACCCAAGTACTTATAGATTCGCATGCGGCTACAAGTGTCGCATCTGTCATCTGAACTGTAGTCTGCTTAGTCCTGTGCAAATCGTCTGTCGTGAAGTTCTATTCCATTCGTTCAAGACTTTTAGTCAGTTACACTCATTCTTTAACAAGTTATTTCGCGACACTCGCTCCACTCACCATGCACTTCTCTTCCTCTTCTCTTAGCGCCCTTGTTGTGGCCGCGGCTGGTGCCGCCGATGCCGCAAAGTGCCCTATCCAGTTCGATGGCAGAATCCCAACAAACTTCACACCCGCCTCTTTCGACACCTCTGCGAGTCCCTTCAACAATGGCTTTGTTTTCGGCAAGGGTCTGAAGGCCAGTGACGTTGTCACTATTCCGACAGGCTTGTCGTCTCTGGTAAGCCACACGTCAACATGAATCTTTCTGGCAGCAGTTGACCGATCTTCCTTAGCTCGACGGCCCGGCAAACAAGCCTTTCCAAGTCAACATTGACGACAGATCCATCTTCGCGCCCACCGAGACCAATGTGCAAACGGGCTTCCGCCGCGCAGAGATGCTGCCCATGAGCAATAACGGCACCGACCCATCCACCTCCGGCATCAAGACGGTCCACTGGAGCATGATGAAGGACCCTAAGAAGCCGCTTAACTTAACCCACGAATACCAAATGGTCTTTTTGGAGAGCTCCATCTTCAGCTCGAACCAATTCGCACTCAAGTACGGCGATCTCATCGGCATTCACCCGGCGGACCCGGATGTTCTCCACCTGTTTGGCAACTCCAACACCAACCCGTCGCCGGAGCTCTTCAAGACCAAGTTCACTGAGGGCGTGTTCCACAACTTTGCCCTGACTTTGGACTTTGGCAAGAAGTGAGTGCATGATTTTGCTTCTGTGACTGTAGCCGGCTTTACTGACATTGATATCGTAGCTTGACTCAGGTGTACTACTCTCAAGGGAATGCCCCTCTTGTCGCTCAGGGCCAGCCCATCGAGAACGACATCTCGGGACAGGGACAGTTTCACTTTGGCGTTTTGAAGAAGTCGATCAACGGCACCGGTGACCTCACCAAGTCCGGTTTCCACGAGTCTGGAATCAACGAGGGCATCATTTTCGGTTCCATCTTTGAGGAGGACAGCATCGATGGCTGTGTGACCTTGTCTCTTTGATTACCTCAGGGTCTTCTTTGAGTCCCTGACTTTACACAGATCTCCAGCCTTGGGTTTTGATAGAATATGGCTTCCAATTTACATTGGTTTCAATTAGGGGTATGCTAGACTAATTCAGCGTAGTGATGCACTCGAAGTCATTTGTCAAGTCCAAACGCCAGTGATTCCGATACTGCTCCTGTAGACACATGTCCAATTGCATCAGGCCATCTGCCAAAAACAACGTCCCATTTTCGAACCGTCAACCTCAGATCTTCCACTTGAGCTCCTCCAAAACCTCTCTGGCAGCCCTCTGACCCGCAAATACCGCGCCCTCCATGTACCCATAATGCTTCGTCGAGGTCTCCGTGCCAGCCCAATGAATAGCCCCAACCGGTTTCCGAACCCACTCCCCCAGCAGCGTCCACATCCCCGGCGCCGGCGTCGCCATCGGGCACCCGAGAGCCCACTCCTCCTCCATCATGGTGTGGAAGAAGAACTCTTCCGGGTCGAGCGACTCCGGACCGAACGCGGATGCAAAACCAGCGAGGGCGACGGCCCGTTTCTGGTCCTTGCTGAAGCTGATGAACTCTCGCGCCTTCGTGCCGACGATGAAGCCTGTGAGCTTGGCCGGGCCCCCGGACTGCGACGTCGCGTCGTAGGTCACGCTGAGGAAGCCGGTCGGGTTCGTGCTCTCTCCCGTCAGGCCTCGTTCCCTCCAAAAGGGGGTTTTGTAGGTTGCGTAGACTTTCATGTAGGCTCCCATCGGCATGTGCTGGAGCAGTGTGGTCTTTTCTACCGGTAACCTTGGCTCGAAGTCGATCTTGAGAATATGCGGTGGCGGGATGGCGGAGATGATTCGTCGTGAGCGGTATGTTCCTCTAGACGTCCGGATGGTCGCAAGACTCTCGGTGTATGTGATGCCGCAAACCGGTTCCTCAAAGCGAATGCCTCCGTCTCCCAGGTGCTCTCTCAGCTTCTCGGCAATGGCTTGGCCTCCCCCTTGTATGAAATGTTGCTGCGCTCCATTTTCGCAGCTCAAGCCTGACGTGAGACTGACCACGCCCTTGAAAAAGAACATGGCGTGAAGCATCGAGATGCAAGACGTATTCTGCCCGATCGTTCCTTCGAACGCCAAGTTGCCCAGATCAATGGTAGCTTGTGTCCAAGCCTGCTTCTTCAACCATTCATGCACCGTCATGCGGTCAAGCTCTGCCGCGTTCGGTGTCTGCCACGGTTCTTCCATGTTGACCGTCTCACACAGTTTTTCGAATCGGCGGACGAACAGACCCGTATCCAGAACCTCCCACGGCCTCATCGGCGGAATCAGGCCCGCATAGCTTCGCGCCTTGCCCCGATAGGCCAGGACGATTTTTCCCTGGCTGGATGGCTTGAATAATGGCACATCGAACTCCTTTGCCAGAGCGTGCATGAGATCTTGCTTGTGACCGACGAAAGAGGCCCCGACATCCCAGTAGTCGCCATTGTCGAGCGGTATTGTCTTTGCGCGTCCACCAACGCGATCGCGCGCCTCGAGTAAAAGGACCTTCTTTCCAGCATCCTTCAGGAGTCGTGCAGCCGCGAGACCGGAGTATCCGGCACCGATGACCACGCAATCATATATAGGCGTGGTGTCTGGTGTATATTCCGTCGTAGATTCACCCATTATTGCGAGTTGTTGCGTTGAGCTGGGCAAAACAGTGTTTGAGAAGAACCCAAATTTCTCGATTTGTGCCAGATGGCAAGAACGTTTGGAGCTTTCGTCCACGGAATGCGTAATTCTTGACCTTCTCAGTTCTTCGTCTGCACTCAAGTACCCGTCCGATGATTGTTTGGACCTGCTAGCGGGAAGCTCTCTAGCGCTTACAGGAGATTGGGAGGATTGTCAGCCACGCCTGGATTGGGGACCAATCACAACGCCTCGTAATCTCCCTTGGGCTCCTTTGTCTTCCTTCGTCCTGGCTTACTTGGCTCTTCAATCTCACATGTCTGTGAGTCTGGCTTGACCTCATGTGCATAAGCCACGGGTTTTGGTTTGCTGCGCACGTGGCAGATAGGTAACCGATATTAAATTGCACTGGGAGGAACGATCGTTTGTCACGATGATCGATGCGCCTTATGATCACTAAAGTGCGTACCATTGAATCGCGGCGACGACCCTCGGAAGTTCCAAATGTGGACGAGGAGTGACGATTGGGGCAAGGCCAACTAGCCAAAGGTCTGTTCCGTCACTACAAATATACTCAAATTAGCATGTTTGCGGTTCAACAGCCGCACTGGATTCTGATGTAGACCCCGGATATCTAATCCCTATAAGCTATCTGAATGTAAAGCTTTCATTCTAGATGTCTTGCTCGTAGTATACAACAACAAGTAAGCTGTAACATTGTCGTGTATTCACATGAGAGCGAGGTGCTGAGTTTCCTGTCTCAAACCTTACTATTCACTCCTGAACACAGTTTCGAACCGCGCAGTCTTAAGCAAGAAGCCCATAACGTACTTGTTGGGCTTCATACATGTGTCGCAGAGACATCTTTCAGCGTTCTGGTCGTGGGCGGAGCATCTCCGTTATCCTTGGCCGGCTTGATCTCCTTTTCTTTTGCAATCCATTCCTTCCAGTCATGCACCTCATTCATGTCTTTTTACTGAACAGGAGGGCTTTCTTCCTTCGGCTCCTCCTCGCCTCCCGAGTCTTTACCCTTACATTGCTCAGAACCCTTGCATCCACAGATACCCTCACAGACAGGCTCCATCATGCCCTCGGATATCAGCTTCGAGATGAAGGGTATCTTGAACCCAACGCACTTCTTGAAGCATTCCCCATGACTCCTGTGACCCTTGTGGCCCACATGCTCCTTTTGACCTCCATGACCTTCCGCTGAGGATGCCCGTGTCCCGTTTGTCTCTGCTAAGCTTCTAGGCGACTTTTTGGGAGGCAGATGCTTGTCGAGATGTTTCTTGCAGTGCTGCCAATTTGGCGCTTGATTGCCCTTGGTGTCTTTCCCCCTTAGATGTGCGGGATGCTTCATCTTATGATGTGATGACTTTGTTTTGTGATGGTGTTTCATAGAACATAACGATTGTTCCCAGGGCGCGAGGTTGCCTTTCTCGGCATCTTGGCCATGGTCTCGATCGCCCCCTGTAGGCGGCGGAACGTTGGTGACGTTGAATGATGTGGGCGTCTGGGCGGAGGCTGTGGCAACGGCTGTCTTGGTGGGAATGGCGATGGCTGCTGATGAGGCCAGGAAGAACGCCAGACAAAGAAATGTAGCCTTCATCATGGTAAGTAATCAAGGAGTATAAATATATACAGAGAATGAGTAGGTAGAGCTTACATGAACGAGCAGCTAGGCACCGAGTGCTTTCTCTTATATCTCTTTGGACTCAATATTATTATTTACATGCTCCAGACAAAGGCTACCTTGATCCGAACCTTCTCATTAGAGGAATTTTGTGCCTGAATGTAAGCTTCATTAAAGTTTCCTGAACCATGCGCATTCGTAAGACAAGTGAAGCAAGGTCCAGTGCCTGTGTCTACACTCATCGGATCCTGCCGTATGCACATCTTTGAAATATCGGGTGAGAGGTAACGGAGTAGGTATTCGGCTCGAGTCGGCCGTTCTGGATGTCTGTTAGGAGGGCTGTCAATTCAGTTGACATGGGATGTTTCAGCGTTCCGTGTTCGCTGAGTCAGGACCTGCAGAGCTTCTGTGTCTTTGTAAGAAACTGGAGAATACGGCTTCTCTTCCTCGTGTCCGCAATTTACAAGCCAGTGGAAGTGCAGCGATTAAGAGACGGCTGTGGATTCCACCGTTGTTGCATTGCTGTACGTGGATTCACCTTGAACCCTCGGGTATCCAGTATGAGGACGCCTATGCTCTGGAGTCGATTTAACGACCGACGTCTCTATCGTACACCTTTATCATGATCACGAGCCGTAATAGCGAGATCCTACAACCGCCTCATCTTGAACACACATGACTCCTAGCAACTCACTTCTCTTCCTCGCCTTCACCTTCACCTTCACCCATCTCCTCGTCACCATCTTCGCCTTCTTCCCCGGCATCGTCATCTTCATCATCATCATCGTCGTCGTCATCATCGTCGCTCGACCCAGAGCCCTCGCTTTCTCCCTCGCTGCCAGGGTCATAGTCTTCTTCGTCTTCATCTTCATCCTCCTGGAGCGCCTGCTCAGCCTCAAGATGAGCCTTCTCGAGCTCCGTCATGCCGTTTGCATCCGCGTCTCCATTGGCATCAGCGTCGGCGTTTGCGCCCTTCTTCTTCAGGTTCTCAGTCAGCTCCATCTTCGCCTTCCTCTGCTCCGCCATACTGCGGTCCTGCAGTCCGTGGCGCTTGACATAGGACTCGTCGATGCCGCCGTAGTCTTCCTGGTCCAACATGCCGAACTCAATCTCCTCGGTGGCGTCACCCTCGGTGAACACCTCCACCACGATGTTGAATGTACGCTGCAGAACGCTTGTGTAGCTCATGGCCACAATGCGGTCGACGGGCAGAAATACTAGAGGCTTTTTGAAGCCGTAGAGAATGCCATTGGGAAGGAAGAAGAGGTATCCGTCTTTGGAGCCGCGGAAGGCCTTGACGTGTACCGCCTTCTCATTCGGTCTGTGCGGCTGGCGGACGAGGCTGTGGAAGATGTTGGGATCGGCTGCGACGATTTCGGCAGGATTGCCAGCGGAGCTGAGGTGTGTCGTCAACGCCCAATCAAAGAGGCCACGGTAGGTGTCGGAGACTGCTGATGCAGCGTTCGCTTTCGGGCCTTCGATGGTGCCGGGCTTGGGGGCTGTGGCAGGCACTGTGAATACCAGAGCTTCCTTCTCGGGCGAGGTTTTCGTCGGGAGGCATGTTCCACGGGGAAACAGGACGTAGTTGTGCTGCACCTGAGTCTTCTCGGGTACGGGGAGGCAGAAGAGGTACTCTGAAGCACAAGTTAACTTGGCTGGGATGTTAGGTTCCTGTGCGGTTGGAGACGTACCAATGTCATCCCAAGCGTAGATGATGCCCTCGACGGGTGCAGTGGTATTCGGTAACCGCGCGTAAAAGAAGTTCGCCGTGAAGCAGAGCTCGTACTTCTTGCGCTGGGGCACGGAGACGGAAATCTCCTTAATCACAAGGAGAACCTCTTCATCGGTAGCGTTTCCGGTTCCGATGCTTTTCGGTGCAGGCTTTGCAGCCACCCCGTTTGTGTTAGACGCCTTGAAACCGTTCGTAGGGCCTTCTTCTATCCGTCTGCGTTTTGATGCCGGTTCGGGTCCGTTGATCTGCTCGTGAACGAAACTCGCGATATTGTTGAACAATGCGACTCGATCGGGTGTGTCTGAGTAGTCGAGAATCAGCATTTGAAACTGCAAGAAAAGAAAACTGCGCAATTGGAACGGAGGGTAGTACTGGCTGCCTTTTGAATGCCCTGCAAGATGTCGGGTCGCGACTGGAAGACGGCTTCCAGCCGCTGGCTGTCGAGGCCGGCAACCATTTTTTGGTGAAATATTTGTTTTCCGTCCCAGAAATTCGGTGTCTTCTTGATGATGGGTTCGATGAAATTAACGAGATGGCGGCTGATTCGAAATGTCTGGGTAGAGGAAAGCGTCCCTTTGAATGTAGTGAAGTTTCCGGATTGTTTTCTCTGTCTCGACGCGACGTCGATAAAAAATTATGTGATGTGACGTGTTGAAGCTGGCGGCTGTTTGCTGAAGCGGCTGTTCCTGGTGCACTGCGGCACGGACTTACATAATGCGGCGGTAACAGGCCTATAGCAATTTGTACGGCGAACACTCGGGGCGGGCAGCGCCCCTTTTCTTACGAGGGGCCACTGATTCAGTCGAGTCTTCAAGGTTCCAAGGAGACAAAAGCGATGGCAATACTCGGCATTTACGGCCCTAATTGTCAAACACCTCGAGCCCTGTGGACCATGGTACTCTGATAGTTCAGCATAGGTATGTTTGGTCATCCCAATATTTCTCCAATATCTACAATTTCCAATGTATGGTGGTCGTTTCTCATTGCCAATTCCATGCTTCCGACCACCACAACAGCAGTTGCCCAAGAACCTTACATCATTGTTGTTATTTCCAGTATCCTTACTTCGCCAGCTGGATATAGGTGTGAGACATATTCCACATTAGCTTGAGGGAAAAAGCAAAGCAAGTTGGTAATACTGCGTAGAGGAGCTCGTTCATAATAGCATAGGTATTTGATCATCAGAAGTTAAGTCGCAGTGAAGGGAGAAAAAAAATACAGGTGCGAGGTCAGCCTTGTCTTATCTTTTTCCTTATCGCCAGCTAAGGGAGCTTGGACCATCCTTGGGGGACTTGCATTCCCCTGGCTGCCCCTGAAAGATGCGACGTCACAGTGGAGGATGCGCCCAAGGCCCCAAATGCAGTGGCACTGATTTGGCGCGCATCTTGACCCCGCGGTTTCCACTCGTCTGCTGTCACCAGCCGAACAACACATTAGGTAAGTCACTGCCGGGTGCCCCACAGCTTCCTTTCCTCGGAGGTCAGGCAACATCACGGACTTTGCACCTCCAACCTCGAGTCTTGCTAACGCCAGTTCCGCCCATGGGGTAGGCTTTGAATACCGAGCCTTCAACAGCACCCTAATCTTCCCAAATAATCATACACTGCTGAGCGATACCATGTCATTCTCCAA